GGCGGAGGGTGGCAAGGCGGCGGAAGAAGGCCCGCCAAAAACCCAGTAACGGCTGGCAGCCTGTAGGCCTGCCCTTTCAGAAAGAGGTTTTCTCTGTGGTACGTTGAGAAAGTCATGGTGTTGCTTTTTGGTGCAGCTTTGATGGTGCTGCTTGTAATTAAGTCTGGTGTAATATAACTTGACTGTCTTAGGAGAGTTTGGGATCTCTTATCACACGTGGATCATTGTCACATCAGGGCTTTCTAACTTTCATCCAAACATCTGACTGTCATGATGTAGACTTCATTCAATACAAATCACATCCTGCAGCTTTTTGCCCCCCCCCCCCCCAGAGCCGCAGTTTGTCAGTTTCTAGCTGCTGGAGGAGTCAGTATTTTCTGCTGTCTGTTCCCAGGGAGAGGAGGCTCTAGTGCTGAGGAAGTGTTTTGAGGGAATCCAAAGGGACGGGGAGCTGATTCGGGTGAGAGACAATGTTCTGCTAAAATCTGGACCTAGAAAAAAGTGTCTGCCTTATGTGGCCAAGATCTCATCTCTGTGGGAAGAGCCAGAGTCAGGTAGGACACACACAGTGTTTACTGCCACTACAGGAAGCTGAAATAAAGTATCAAGTGCCTGGAGCACTGAAGTAAACTGTTGGTGTGTGTGTTTTTCTTTCAGGAGAGCTGATGATGAGTTTGTTTTGGTACTACCGTCCAGAACACACCCAGGGCGGACACAACCCCAGCATACATTGCGAGGTGAGAAGCAAATTCTTTTGTACTATGGCCAAAAACATTGTTTTGTGAGCAGTCAGCAGGTGTTTGCTAAAACCATATATCAGGACACCTAAAACCAGTGTGCAACTTATATGTAAATCAGTGTGAAGCGTAGTCTGTTAAACTGCATATAACCATGGTTAGAATATTAATGCATACATGAAAATTGGAGTCATTTGAACTGACTTTTAAAAATGGTGTTAAAGCATCCTTAAACTGTCTGATGAGTTCCTTTATTAACACAGAGACTGTAGTTTCTTACATGTCAGTCGCACATACAGTATGGCCAATTCGTAGTTGAGTCTGCATGGCTGCAAGGGTCCTCAGGGGTCTATGTGACATAAGTATCTGCCCAAGTCTGTGAAGGAGTGAAACTGCACATGTGCCAAAAAAAGCAAACCAAATGCTTGTTTTTTTGCACTGTATAGTTTTATATATTTTTTTATTCTTTGGGCCTGTAGTTGTTAAGTGGTCTGAGGTTTTTTTCAGCCAAATACAACAAAGAATGTTAAAATTATGTTTTCTAATGTGTGGAACATGTCTGCGTATGGGTACCCTGACTGTACTATGTACCGTAATTTCCGGACTATAAGCCGCTACTTTTTTCGCTTCATGCACACACTCTCATCATGGAAAACACACGACGAAATGCATATGATGCAGCTTTCAAGTTAAAGGCGATTGATCTGGCTGTCGAAATATCTCATGTTACAACGTGGACACCTGCGGCTATGTACAAACTGTCTTTTCATTTTAAATTTTGTGGGTGCGGCTTATATTCAGGTGCGCTCAGTAGTCTGGAAATTACGGTATAGATGAACATCAGCACTCTCCATGTATACATCTGTCCTAGAGTATGATCAAGGTTATACCCTGTCCTGCTACTGTAAAGTAAATGCTCACTAGAGCACAAAATATGTATTAATTCACAACCAAAATGAATAACAAAGTAATAAAATCATAATTTACTCAGTTTTGAGTGCTAGGAAGCCCTGAGTTTTGACCTATTTTATATAAGAGACCAGTGGGCTTGGGTCTTTGGAGTTTTAAACTTTTAATTAGATTTGTCAACAACAAGAAAATCATAGGGTGACACGACAATTACCCTGTAAACACAGCCTCTGTCTTTCACTAACAGATGTCTACAGTAAAAACTCCATAGTCCAAGGTGTTTGATTATAAGAAAGTGGTGGACTAGTTTTTGAATTTGACAATTTTCTGGTATCCAGACTCATTGATTACTATTATATGGATAATTTATTATTATTATTATTATTATTATTATTACATAGGACATAAGGTTCATTTTGCAGCACACTAATAATCTCATTGTTTTAAGAACTGTTGAGCATCTGTCCATTTGTACAGTGAGATTGCATCAAAATGAAAATATCAGGATTTTCGGATTTTCGGCTTGAAGCTACAAAATGTAACTTAAGGCAGCACTCGCCCAAAACTACAAATCATTTCATGCTGCTTTGCCCAGCACTCCCTCCACTATGCTCTATTACGATCTGCTGCGCTCTGGTCAGCTCTTCAGATGTCTATCGTTATTAAATCATAATAAATGAGAATGCAACAAAAGTTATTTATCAAGCAGAAATAATTGAAAATGTGTGATTGGTTAGAGGTCAGTCCCTCTCAAAAACCTTTACAAGCTAATATCACTGCACTGCTGCCAGTGCTGTTCCATGAGTCTGGGTCACAGGAGGCTTCGACAGCACCTCTCCAGATTAAGACAAGCTGCATACTGTAGCTTTAATTCAATAACTGCAGCTGTGTTTCAAACCGATGATAACACGTTGAGGAACAGCTCCTGTTGTGCTAGCTTCTCCCAGAGGAACATGTTGCACTTTATTTAATCTCTGGAAACAATAAAGCACATGAAATGTTGCTTCTTGGTTTCACTTACTAACAACAAATACATCCGGGCAGCAGTGTGAGAACTGTAATGACACCTGAAACATTTTTCTCTGGCGAACGTGTCTTTACATCTGAAAGTGAAGGTGAGACAGAAGTGCTTGTGCACAGTGTTGCAGAGAGATGCTGTCTTTTGAGGTCCCTCTCAGTTGAGACCAGCTGTGAAGGTTTACACGGGTCGAATGTTTCTGTTTC